AAACGGTGAGCATAGAGAAATAGGCCAGCAATAGCGCAAGAGAGAACTAACATCGCAACTGCCTCGGGCAGTGGCACAGAAACGGCGAACAGGACCTCCAAGTCTTTACCTAGTATCCAGGCTGCAAGTATGGTAAACCAATCACCATTCATAAAAATGAATTCTGGCTCTCAAAAAATAGTATGAAGTGGAACGGTAAAACAACAAGAAAAGAATACCAGACCCTCAGAAGGCACACTTCTGGATCATTAGCAGTAGCAGAGGCCAACTAAAACTGCGAAAAAGTCATAAGAACGTCAGCTAACTGCGACCGCGGATACAATATTCGGCCTCTCAAATGGTCAGGCAGAGTATTTTAGGCAGCGAGCGACCCACGCACAGAACATTTGTTTCGATCTAAGAGCTTTCGCTCTGTTAATGAGTTGTCAGTGTGTGTACATGCCTGTGTCCGCTGTTAAGTCTTGCTCCGAGGGTATGGGTCTTCAGTCGCCTGCAGCCAATCAGTGAACTGATACAGTTTGATTGGCTACGTCTTGCAAGACGAGTGTCTCATATGACGAGCTCCGTCCCGGAATGGATAAAACACGCTGAACGAGGTTCCACTGTATACCTTACAGGCAATCAAAATAAATTGACAGATATGATGCCTTATGGAGGAACTTTTCACAGTCTTCAGAAATCTAATAATCAGAAAATTTTTAAAACCGACATATCTCTTTCAAGTGTAACATCGGAAGATGGTGTAAGGTTCTACCAAACGAGTACAAGAAAGAATATTTTTGTGCATGTTTTCCATAAAATATACCTGGCAACGAAGATAAATGAGGGAAGTGCATACCACGTAAGTCACCATTTTTTTACAGAGTATACTGTAAGCAGACGATCAGAAAAAAGTTCACTCAAAAGCCGTCATCATGACAAGACTAAAATACCTTAAGATAAGGCTGTACGATTATCAATGGTAAAAGCATACTTAAATCCAAAAAAAATTCGAGTCGAAACCAAATTCCCAAATTTCAGGTGCCATT